TTCTGCACCTTAGCGGTGTTTTGTCAAATTTTATATTTTTTCTTCATCTGTCATCTACATCTACAACACTTCTCACACCAACACGCTCCTTTAGCTCGCCCCCCTTCCCTAGACCCACACACTGCAGCCTCGCGGCAGAGGCAGAGGAAGCGCCCGCACATAAAAAAAAAACAAATATAAGCTGCGGGACGGGGTGGGTTAAAAGTCGGCAGAGGCAAAGGAAGAGGGACGGCAGAGGCAGAGGCCGAGTGAAGCAGAAGCAGAGTGTGAATGAGAGAATGTGAAAAGAACAACAAAAGCTTCTGGACAGGGTGGGTTTAGCCACTGCACATTAATTTCTTCATTTTGGCTATAATAATGATCCAATCGGATCTCAATTTGGTGATCTGATAGATATGGCCATTCCCTACGGAATGGGGGTTTTAGTTTTCTTTTATCTTCAAAATGTTTATTCTTGATCTATTACTATTACTAAATGTAATGAATGGAAATATGTACATTCATAGTAGATATATATCTATATGTATATAAATGATAATTAATTGCATATGCATTCATTAAATATATCACAAAAAATTATATACATACATATGTACACATATAAAACAAAAAAGAAGAAGGGACATGTGAGACGCTTCTTACGCGTCACAACTCTTATACCCGGCACTCAATACTACTTCTGCACCTTAGCGGTGTTTTGTCAACTATTTGGTTAGTACCGCGGACTTATCGCTAAAATATTCTGCCTCAGAAATATACCAAAGTTCAGCATTTACCGCATACCGTAAATACAACGAAAAAAACTAAAATAACGAACTAAGCCCAATTAATCCGCTCTAATTTAATAGGTGAACACCTTGAGTAAACAGTCGAAGATACTGTTTTGTAAATTGATGGTGTGGAAATATTTCATCTCTTTACGTAAACGAAATATTACCACGAGATCTTTCACCTAAACAGCGCTGAAAATGTTTCAGTTTTTGTACCCGGTACTCGAAGAGTAAATAGGGACAGAAGGAAACGTTTCCGACCCCATTAAGTACATATATTTTTGATCAGCATCAATAGCCGAGTCGATAGAGGCATGCCTGTCTGTCCGTCCGTCCGTCTCGTTTGTCGGCTAGTTCTCAGAGACTATAAGAGCTAAAGCCACCAAATTTTGGCTCCAGACTTCTGTATGCTCACACTGTTACAAGTGTATTTCAAAAATGAGCCCCGCTCCCTTCTGCCACCGCAAAAGAGCGAAAACCTCCCAAGCCTACAATTTTGAAGATAAAAGAAAACTTAAAACGCCATTCCGTAGGGAATGGCCATATCTATCAGATCACCAAATTGGGATCCGATCGGATGATTATTATAGCCACAATGGAGAAATTAATTTCCAGTGGCTAAACCCACCCTGTCCCGTAGCTTTTGTTGTTCTTTTCACATTCTCTCATTCACACTCTGCTTCTGCTTCACTCGGCCCCTGCCTCTGCCGTCCCTCTGCCTCTGCCGACTTTTAACCCACCCCGTCCCGCAGCTTATGTGTTTTTTTTTGTGTGCGGGCGCTTCCTCTGCCTCTGCCGCGAGTCTGTAGTGTGTGGGTCTAGGGAAGAAAAAATATAAAATTTGACAAAACACCGCTAAGGTGCAGAAGTAGTACTGAGTGCCGGGTATAAAAGTTGTGACGCGTAAGAAGCGTCTCACACGTCCCTTCTCGTTTAATATGTGTATGTAGGTCGTATGCCTATGCATGAACTTTCGTTCAGCAAATGGTATCAAAATTCGGTTGCATTTCCCAAACATAAAATTGTCGAAATTACAGTAGATGCAGTTAATCCAATTGAAAATATTGCAGATATTGCGATGGGACCCATTGATATTGGAGAATGATCAAGTGCAATGGGACCCATTATTAGGATTGAAACAGATCCATTGCAAAATATTAATAGAGACTTTGAAAATAAATCTCAGTAAATTGATTGCAATAATCTAAGCGAATTATGCTCTTCTCAAGTGCAATTGCTTACGATCCGAGACCAAGAGCGTTGCAAACAAATAATAGTTTTAGAGACAGAAATTCGGTAGGAAAGCAAAAATCGCTGATGATGGATGAGAGAACAGTCACAATCCCAATGAATTACTTTAAAAATTTGCAGATTATAGAGGCCGGAGAATGTATCCAGATCGGTATAAATTACATACAAAACATATGAAAAGTTTAATTATTAAAAGCAGTTGATTAAATGGATTTATAATATTACCTATGGCAAATATTTCTTTTTGGTTGTTCTTTTAGTTTTAACTTTATTATGCAATGCGGAGAATTGAAAGATGATTTGAGTAAAATTATATTTTTAAAGCTGTGAGTCCTAACCAGCTGTTAATATTAAATTGAACATCGAGGAATATGATTTTAGATTCAAGGTATATTTACGGTATATTTTGAAAATTAAAAAGTATATTCGGTATATTTTTCGGGCCCTCACGGTATATTTTATCGAAAATTCCGCGGTCACACTGGACACACTGGCACAAAACAAGCGAAAAAAATAAATAACCAAAAATCCATCTGCAACCATTAAAAACGCCAGCAAATACATTCAGCGTCACTCAAATATTCGTGATAATTGCGCCGGCACCTCTGCACACTCAAACCTTCGCCCGACCCCCCTGTCAAGAAGCAGCAAATCAAATGTGATGTTAAGTGTGAGTGTTTCCCAAAAAAAAAATAAGAATGGAAATCCATTAAAACGCCATGGTGTGAGTGTGTGCGTTCGTGCTGGCTCGCTCGTTCGTTAGTATTTGTATGCGTGTGATGTGCAAACGAAATCAAGAAGCAGCAGAGCAAAGAACAAATGCCGCAGAATGAAGTCGCCAAATAAATAAACAATTATCAATTTCCAAAATTAGTTTTTAGTTGCGCGCAATGTGAAAACGACAATGAAACGTAGGAGTTGTGCAAGGCGAACAAATGAGTGAAACAAGAAACAATTTGAGATCCTATGGTTGCTCCAAGCCCCACACCCTGCAAACAGCTTATCCCTATCCCTGTCCCTATCCCTATCTGCCGTGTGTGGGAGTGAACGAGAAAACGCTCTGACCAGTTTCCAGGTTGTTGGAGGAGAATTTTAGCCGCAAAATTTTGAGCTTACCATCCATCCGTCCGTCCGTCCGTTGGTCGGTCCGTCCCAACCCTTGTTTTGTTATCCCTTTTCTATTTTGCGCTCTATGCGCGTGTGTGTGTGTGAGCGTCCCCATTGCCCGGGAGTTAAATATTCAACCCCCAAAATTGCCCCACCCCACTTTCCAGGCAAATCACTGAGCAATAACAACCCACCCATTCAGCCAGACGCCCACTCTCACCCCCCAAGCGTCGACATTTCGCACTGGAAATTTCTTACTGGATGCTCTCACTCTCCCTGCTCTTATTATTCGTCTTATGTCCCCTCTGACGATGCTTCTGCCGCTGCTGCTGCCATCAGCTTCAGCTCTTTGTTGTTCCTGCTGCGGGATGAAGCAGTGGAATTAACGTGAAGCCAAAAGGCAGCGGGTGAAGGGAGCCGTAATTCAAAAACTGTCGAAATAAAACGGCTTCCTTCTCCACTTTCGCGTACCCCCCCCCCCCCCCCCCCCCCCCCCCCCCCTTTCTCTCTTTCCTCCCCCTTTCCTCCCTCTCTCTCCCCTCCTCTCTCCCTTTTCTTTTTTTTTTT